TGTAAATGTTGCATTGCACACCTGCCAAATACCATCATTGTGAACATCCATTTTGTCTAAGCATCAGCATTCAAAACAGAAGAAAGGTCACTGCTAAAGAACAGCAACCTTTATCGTTCTTCACAAAATGATGTCTGCCAAATCCCATCATTATGAACATTCAAACTGTCTCAGGATTCACATATAAATCCTTTTGGTTTGCCATGAGAGAGTAAAAATGTGTGGTTAAAAAAACTGAATAGCAACACTGCAGCACACATCCGCCATATACCATCATTTTTAACGCCTAACCTGTCTTCGAATCAGCATTCAAAACCGATTAAACAAGTCCCAGGCATGTTCCCTAAAAACTCTGGGGCGGTTAGTGCCCAATTCCCAGTGGCCTGGTGTGAGAGCATGGAAAGGAATAGCGCCAGGTTTGTAGCACTGTCAGCTTCGATCCATTATTCAGACAGACAACTGACCTTCTGGAAGATTGCTGGAAACGGGCTGCTTTGGTTGACCTGGGGCCGGCATGTCAGTATGTGGCTGCTGACCGTGTTGAATGATGTCCTCGTTTTGGAAGGAAGGCAAAACGGGTTTGTCAAGAAAAATCTCAATCCCATTTTGCAAGAATCTGCCAGAGAGTGTGACACCCTGGGGTAGATGCTTTTCAGTCCCAGCATGTATGTGATGTAAGTGTGTTATTGGAGGTACGCGGCTTTGTGCTTGTTGCGATGACGAGAACACCCTGACCTTCGTAGGCTCCATCTATATTCAACAACTAAAGCTGGTCTGGGGAGGATAATTGGATTTTTCAGCATGTTGCTGCGACGATGGAGGTGAGCGACTCTTGTGGAAAAGGGGTCAGTGGGTATGTCAGAGAGATCACGGTCTAGCCTTATTTACTCGGCCGTGTGCACATACATAAACACAGTGATGACTTTATTTGTTTCCGCCCAAACGGCGATGACTGTTCTTTTCTGGCTGCAAATATGAGCTTGCCCTTTCCGCTGACGTTTCTACAAATGTATATTTCTAAAGCAAATTATGAGAACATGTTCCGCTAAGTGATTTAGCTTGTACACCCCAAAGCGCAACTTTTACAATCAAAACAACAACACGAACCTGGTCCAGGGCTGATAAGACAGAGCAGTTCCTACAAAAACACTGGATAGTATGATGTGACCCTTAGGCCACAAACCAACATCTTTGTGAAATGTGACTTTTTGGTCAATTAGTAATCTTGAGGTCCCAGTGAACATACATAACCTGCATTTTTGTGTTATCTTGAAGGTAAGAATTTTCAGTACTGAGTACAGGTAATGATATTGGTTTCGAAGGACTGTGGAAATAAATATGAACTTTAAACTGCTGATCAGACATTCCAATATTTACTGAATCAGACAACCGACTTGAACATCTTTTACACAAATACATCACATAACAAATTCTTGTGAATACTTCTTGTCAGTTTTAGGTCAGTTATCATGATATTTGGCTACTGATGCTTGTCAGAGAGTATGAACAAGATCCCCAATGGACACTGTAAGATGCCATAATGCCAGACAATCAAGATGTGCCAAATTCATAAACACATAAGAATCATCTGGAGTTTGACATCAACAATCCATAAAACATTGAGTAACCTGTGTTCTGAAATGTTACCTCAAAGCAAACATAAAAAATCTTAAGCATTCATTTGATTCATAACATGCCTTGCAAACCAAAATTTAATTTGAAGTCCTGATTGCATCATAAGGTTTTGAACTCCTATTGGTTCTTGATCATCATTGGTTCTCCTGATCATCATAAGAGAAGTTGCACTCATGAGATTAGATTTTAGCAGGTCTTTTCAACCACTGCCAGTGTGAAGCACTTGCCTGACTCTAGGACACAACACACACCAGCTTTTGGTGGGGATCAAGGGATCAAGCCAATTAATACATAAAGAAGGGTTAGGAGGTCATGACAGACGAAGGTGGGTCCATTTGGCCAGGATGCCAGGATCACACCCTTACTCTTTTTAAAGAGCATTCTGGGTAATTTTAAATGACACCAGAGATTAAGGACCTCAGTTTAAAAACACATCTAAAGAATAGTGATCACTGTATTACAGGGCTCGAAATCGCCCGTAATTTTATCTATGCGAACTCAAAATATTCATTCATTTATTTTCTTGTCGGCTTAGTCCCATTAATAATCTGGGGTGGCCACAGCGGAATGAACCGCTAACTTATCCAGAATGTTTTTACGCAGCGGATGCCCTTCCAGCCGCAACCATCTCTGGGAAACACACACACACACAAACACACACACACACACACACACACACAACGAACAATTTAGCCTATCCAATTCACATGTACCGCATATCTTTGGACTGTAAGGGAAACAGGAGCACCAGGAGGAAACCCACACGAATGCAGGGAGAACATGCAAACTCCACACAGAAACACCAACTGAGCCGAGGTTCGACCCAGCGACCTTCTTGCTGTGAGGCAACAGCACTACCTACTACGCCACTGCATTGCCACCTCAAAATATATTTGGGAGCATTTGTGCGAGTACATAAAGTTGTTTTCGCAGCAAAATGTTCACCACATGGGCGGATGTAGGAAACATTCATGCAGAATGCAGCTTTGCATCTAAGAACACCAGGAAGTGCTCAGGAATGGTTTAAATCAGTTGACATGTCAACATGCTGCAGTAAACAAAGCCTGCAATGCTTGTCCCGACTTCAAGCTCTTCTTATTGGCCTACTGTGCTAAAACACAACGTAAATGGATTGCTTAATATCAGCTGTCAATTAGTGAGTTCCGATGACAGGTAGCTACAGCCGAGGAAATGTAAAGGTCTAGATATGAGAGAATAAAAACAACACTGACAGATTAAGTTTTAATACCACCTAAAGTTACAAATAATGACACATCTGATTAGTGATCATGTAATCAAGGTCAATCCAGCATTTAAGCTTTTCGAAGAGTGAATAAAAGACCTCCGGTAGTTAAAGTCCGCTATGATAATGACTAAAGCATTCACCGTAAAGTCGGTAGGGCAGAGTATTCAGGTCACAGTGTTTGCCACTGAATCTTAAGCACCAGATGTTCTAACGTTATTTAATTGTTCATTTAATCGTCATGATGCTGTCAGTCGTACAACTGACACCACGTTCACCATCGCTAAAGAGCATGCATTCACTGAGATGAAACTAATATTGCAGCTCATGAAAAGACCGTTAATTCTATTAAGATGACGTATGCAAATAATAAGTTAAATGTCAATATCATCTGTGCATTTCAGACACCTTCGAGAGAACACAGCACAGTTATTATTGCTCATTTAGTTCATCTCATTCACATCAAGCAGTTAATATAATAAGTGTAGTAACGGTGCCCATAATTGGTGGGTGCGACTAAATTTTGTCTGGTGCGCTTACATTTTTAAAGTAAGGAGCACCGGTGCTACCAAGAAAAAAGGTTAATTTTGAGCCCTGTATTACTATCACTATGGCGGGGCAGTAGGACCCATACAGACTAAAGTGTGAGCACCCCCTGCTAGCTACATGTAGTGTACACTAGATCAGGGGTGTACAATTGAGTTTCTAGGATGATCACACTTCAGTCTTAAGACAAAATGTTGCTGGAAACTTCAGGCAAGTGTATTGAGGATCAAGGTACCCTTTTGTCCAAAAGTACAATGTCTTTTATATTTTCTAAATTATCATTGAAAATGTATGGCTACATTCCAGAGCTTGTGAAAAGTTCAAAACTCTGGAAGCAAGGTATAGGTGAGAGGTGGAGTAGGATTAAAATCACAATCATATCTCCGGAAGACTTGCAGTAGTAAACCTGCCTTGTCCTATTCCTATGGCTCTGAATGGTAAGTACCTTCCCAACTCTATACTGCAAAATATAGAGCATTTAGACATTCACTACTACATTGCATGTGTGCCCATTGCTAATAGCTACATGACTGGTGATGCCCCCCTTGTCTTGATGGAAGCACCCGCAGGAAAGTCATGACCTGAGGAAGCAGGGTTAAACGGAGACTTCATCATGAAGGATAGGGCATTTTACAAACTCGCAGGTGTCCTGGGTTTACGTAACCTCTCTCAGAGAACCCTCTCATATGCTGTCAGTCATACCTGAGCATCATACTGTTAGCTGTCACAGTTCTGCCTGTCAAAACTCACAGTAGGTTGTGCCACACATCCCATATTAAAGGTTCGCAGCACCATGGGGAGGATGTGTGTTATATTTGAAAGCTTAGATCGAAGTTTGATGACTGATGCTTTTTTTTTCTCTCGATACCACGCAGCCATTTGTCAAATCAAACATGTTAACGAACTGTGTATTCAGATCCGACGGCGCTTTGAATGTGTAATTTGTCATCAAGTGAAATATCACGCAGTATTGTGGGTAATGCAGCACGCGTAATTCTAACGGGGAGGGGTGGGTAATTAAATTCTTTAAGGAAGCTGAGTCCCCTGAGGGTGAGAAATATTTAAAACGCTGATACCGGGCTTATGCTAAGCCCATAACTGCTTTTCCATCTTCCTGTCTGACATTTCAAATTATGTGCCTGCCCCGACTCTGGTTTCCTTAACGTACACAATTCTTTAAGCTTTTTTTCCCCTGCTTGCAGTAACCCACTTTGAGAGTTTACCCATGAATCATGCTGGTCACCATTGATCTACAGCACAATTTCAAAGCTCAGTCGTAGCACTGCCCATTTTATTGCTACCCAGAGAGGATGTGCTTTAATTTGCTCCTTGGTATGCCTTAATTTATGAAAAACACCCGCGTTGGGCCTATTCCACAAGCATCTACAAAAGCAACAGTACATTAAAGAGAGAGAGAGAGAGAGAGAGAGAGAGAGAGAGAGAGAGAGAGAGAGAGAGAGAGAGAGAGAGAGAGAGAGAGAGAGAGAGAGAGAAACATAAAAAACTGTACAGTGTTTTAACAGATATTCATTCATCATAACAAACAGTATGACTCTTCAAAAAAAAAACCTCTTACCTATGCCTGAAATCTTTATTTCTGTATTTATTGAGAGCAGCATGAAAACAAGAAGTAGGAAAATAGAGGGTTAGCTTACAGAGTTAGTACTTAATTCATGCAATAATGTGCATAAGCAAGGTTAGAGTGGTAAAAGTATAGTACTGGAGAAAATGTTACTAATACATTTCTACAATTATATCTACTGTATTCATAGCTAATAGAAAGGATCCCCATAGCAAACATACTGAATGTTGTGGTTAGGCCAGGAATTGTCAACTGGTGGGTTAAATTCCAAAATGGTTCACAAGTCTCTATGAAACATAGGCTAAAAAAGTTATTTAGGAGTACAGATTACCTGACAATACTACCAAAAGTCTTGTCGCCTATTCAAGTTTTAAGAACAACAAATAATAACTTGACTCTAGTTGATAATTTTGTATCAGAAGTGACTATATGAAATGCAAACGCCTCTAGATTATGCTTATTTGACCTAATTAAAATATGATCATGCCTTGATTTTTAATTATTTAATTAGGACAGTAAGGTCTGACTTTGCTTTGACAAAAGTATTGTCACTAAACAAAAATAATGTACAGTATAGCTTGAAGGACTGCATTCATACATTTCTGCAATGACTCAAATAAATGTATTAATAAAGTCATCTGGAATGGCAAAGAAAGCATTCTTGCAGGACTTTTGGAGTTCATTAGGATTCTTTGGATTCATTTTCAATGCACCTTTATAGACCCAAGACATGCTCAACAATGTTCATGTCTGGTGACTGGGCTGGGCAATCCTGGAGCACCTTCTTTGCTTTCAGGATCTTTGATGTGGAGGCTGATGGAGCGCAATCTTGCTGAAGAACTTGCCTTCTCCTGTGGTTTGTATGGTAATGGGCAGCACAAATGTCTTGATACCTTAGGCCATTGATGTTGCCATCCACTCTGCAGATCTCTCACACATCCACACACTAAATGTAATCCCAAACTATGATTTTTCCTTCCACAAAACTTGACTGATTTTTTTATGAATCTTGGGACTATGTGGTCTCCAATAGGTGTTCCGCAGTATTTGTGATGATTGGGATGCAGTTTAACACATGATTGTTTGGAAAAATCTACCTTCCGCCCGTTTTCCAAATGATCAACTAGAAGCAAAGTTATTATTTGTTGCTCTTACAACTGGGATTGTCGACAAGACTTCTGTCAGGGAGTGTATACAAATATAGTAACTCACTACACAATATCAAGAGTATCAAGAATCTGTCCTGCTGCAAAACCAGTTGAGAACCTCTAGCCTAGACATATTTCAAATATGAAAACTTAAAACGGGCTATATGTAGAATTGAGGAACCTATGTTAATAGTGACACCAGTGGTCATTGAGTAAACTGCAAACAGGAACTTTTAAAACACCCGTTTATCATGTTTTTGTTCTTGTTTTTTGATCAAAGTTTTAGATGCAGCAATATGCAAATAACAAACATCCACACAACAATTCACACTTCTAAATATGTGCTGCTCTCTTGGATAAATGTCCTGTAAGCTTTCATTGAGAGTCCACATAGTTGTGGAAGATCTATCATTCACACACACACTGGAAATAAATCTAAATTAATTAATCAGCCTCCATGTAAACTTAAGACTATGGGGAAAAAATATGGAATGCACTTTCTTTAAATATCATTTTGATCACTTCAAAGTTGATTAAGTCACATATTTAAGCTTGCTTTTAATTATTGGTGCATTTGGTACTATTTTGTTGCAAACTCTACATATAGCCCCTAAAACAGATGCCTTGTACTGTATATGAACAGTATGAGTGCTTTTTGGGTTTGAATGAAAGATGAAAGATATTCTGAACTAAATTCACCCAAAAATGATTATTCTGTTACTTTCTTCTGTAGAACACATCCAAGTTCCGAAGTCAGAGAGGTTTAAAAATGAGGTGAATTTCATTTTTGGGCGAACTATTTCTGCAAATCTAAAAGGCCAGCAGCATCAATCTTGTGTTATGAGTCGAGCTTAAAACACTGACAGTCGGATCACCTTTTAGTTAGTGAGCAACTTGTCTAACGAGTACAAAACAGCTTGTCATTTTGTTTGCGTGTCCATGCACATGCAGAATGCCAAACCTGAGCTCTAGGACGCTGGTGACATTTCCCGTTGTGAAGATGCGACGGACGTAGTTGAAATCTCCCACATACAGACTGCCATCCGACCCGCAAGCTAAAGCTACAGGTGCGAGCAGCTTGTTTCCATCCGCCAGCCCGTTGCAGCTCGGACAGGAGATACTGCGCCTCCGTCCATTACCCATGATGCTTCCTATGACTGGAGGCTGCTGGGAAATGAAGATGTTCTCACCGTTGCCCTTGTGAAGGATACCTGGGTGACAAAAACAGAGAAAATGTAAGTAATCTATTTAGTACCAAATCCATTCACAACAACCATCTCTTTGCATTAATTACTTGAAGGGGGTGTTCATAAGACTGTCGTTAAAACTTTGTAGTCATGACATGACACAAAACTGAGAACATGCAAGTATTTACTCTATTTAGTCCCAAATCTATTCACAACAGCCATCTTTTTGCAGTAAAGGAAACATTTTACTTGAGGGGGTTTTATAAGACTGTCATAAAAACTTTAGAATCATTACATAACATAAAAACAGAGAATATGTCAGTATTTACTCTATTTAGTCCCAAATCTATTCACAATAGCCATCTATTTGCAGTAAAGGAAACACTTTACTGGAAGGGGTGGTTCATAAGACTGTCATGATCATGACATCACACTTGACAAGACTATGAAATAAATGTTAGCTATGCCTGTTTATGACAACTGTCATGAAGTGTCATTCACTCTAGTGTTGTTGAAATAACCAGTGTTTCCCAACCAAGTCATTACTATATGGGGTGTTTTAAGACAGACATATCTATGTTGATTATAACAAAATTATCACTAATTGCATTTTGTACTATAATTAACTATACTATTTAGCAATTTATTTTACTTACATCAGAAGTACTTTTTGATTAATTAAATGTGATTAAGGCTCTATCTTGTTACAAACAATATTTTGTTAATGTTTTTAATAGACATGTTTTAATAATAATAATTTAATTTATAATTATAATTTAAAATAATAATGATACTAAAGACATATAACCATTTAAACCTCTAAAATCTTGCTCAAATTTTTGTTAATAATTATAATTTTTGTTTTGTTTTGCTTTTGTACCAAAATTGGAACAAAGAACTGTTTTTTCACTGTTATTGATCATGAATACTGAAATTAATTTGCTCAGTTATTTCATTTTAAATGCAAGGCTAACATTGTTTATGATGTTTTTTGTCATGACAACTTGACATAAACAAATACATCACAACATGTTTTGTCATAAGAACTTGACATTACTAAAAAACAACATAACTTGTCATAAATAGTTCATAAACATGATTATTATAATATATATATATATATATATATATATATATATATATATAGAGAGAGAGAGAGAGAGAGAGAGAGAGAGAGAGAGAGAGAGAGAGATATTATATATATATATATATATATATATATATATATATATATATATATATATATATATATATATATATATATATATAATGAGTTTTATAACAGCATCATTCACACTTTTTTGATTCTTGCAAATTGGAATTGTCACTAAAATGATCATAAGGTTTCAAAGGTAAACAAACTGTCCCCTTCAAGTAAAGTGTTACAGCAGTAAATCATCAGGTTTTATCAGCTGTGAGAAGCTGAGGTTCTAAAACCCGTTCGATTCTGTGCAAATTTAATGACATTAAATGCATTTGTTTGCCACATCTCTCGATCGTAGAGCTGTACGACTGCTGTCGGCACTTGAGAAAGGATTTCGCTAAATAACCAGCAGGGCCGATATGCGCTAAACGGAACTGAATTCATCTATCAGAAGGAGCTGTTTTTCTCTCACACAGCCAGACGCTTTTGTAGAGAAACCAGCTAAGTGAAGGTCTACAGTCACAGTAGGAAAAGATAACTTCCTCTTATTATAGCTAACACAGTCAGGCTGAATCTCCACTGCATGACTCAGTGAATCTCCAATCCTGAGCAGCTCAGCGCAAACGGCACTCAAAAAGTGGCAAAGTGCGCAAAACTCAATTTTCAGTCATTTTCATTCAGAGCTTTTTTATTCCCCCCGAGCACCTGTTGAACCATGCTGTGTTTCGAGAGACGATAAATAACAGCTTTTTTCAGGCTGTCGATGCTGATTGGTGGGGTTTACTGGAGCTGATGCGAAAGCTTATTCTCATCAAGCTCAGAAATTCACTCTAAATTCCTGTGTAAAAGGCTTTCGGTTCAAACAAGGCATTAGCTTGCTTGGAGATTTGAGGAAAATCTTGCCATTCGGAATGCAATTTACTTGCTGAGGTAAACTTTAAAGAAAAGAAACATCACTGATCACTAACATTCCCCAGAGTACTCCTCATCATTTTGGAACAGTTTACAACTTTATTAAAAGTTCAATAGTTTGGGAATGTGAAAAACCACAAGGCAAGTTCTTTGCAAACCTTCACCAAATTGTGACGCATGTTCAGTGTACAAAAAAGGCTAAATGCTTTTGGTTTATTATATTTCTTTCAGGATTGCAAAGGAAATGCAAGTAACACTAGTTTAAATATTAATTCTTACTATTAACTACACTGTAAAAAATACCTGTTAATTAACAGTCTCTATATTTTTGTGTTTTCTGTTTATTTACAGTGTGAAGTGCATTATGGGACCTTGATCTCTGCTCTGTCGACTTTTGATGTTGAAAATTAAACTTTTTTGTGACATTTGTTGACATTTTAGTAGTTTGAGACAGGATATTGTTTGAGAAATAATATACAGAGAGCCAAGTTTGTAAAATAAAGGAAATGTGCTGACAGTACAACATACAACACCAACAAGGCAATTTATCACTTTAAACTAATAAAAATGTTCATAAAAGTCACCTAAAAGTCACCCTAAAAGTTGTTGGATGAATGATCGATGTCCCATAATGCAATAAAAACAAAAAATAAGTGAAAAAGAAAAACATGAAATCACAATATACAGAAATCTGTACAATTTACTGATAATTTTTACAGTGTAGTGTCTTGTTACCTGACCATAAAGATACTAGCTGTTAGTACTTACAAAGTATTCTGGATGAACATACTCGACATCACACCTAAAAACGAATCTTAACTACATTAATAATATTTAATAAGTGGCTGTTACTTAGTACTTAAAGAGTACATATTCTGAACGAACAAATTCTGCATCCCCAATCCTACCAAATAACTAAACTTAACTACATTGATAACTTTATTAAGCAGCTGCAGCAAATTAGGAATTTAAAAGTCACAGTTAATGGACTATTAATACCAAGTGACTAAAACACAATATGCAGACACCCTAGTTTTTCACAATTTAGTTTGTGATTGTCTACGAAGACCCGGAAGGGACGTGATGATAGGGGAAAAAATTGGTGGAAGAAAAATAAAATTGGTGGAAGAAAATAAAAAAACTGGGTTGGAGAAAAAAAACCAGAGTAATAGGAAAACATATTTGTACGTTTTTTTGCATTCCCTTGCAAAGACGTTTTGCATTATCCCGCAAAGATGTTTGAAAAACACCTCCTGTTCACTTCATTCATATAAACCCTCAGGTTTTTATGGGTTTTTATATGAAATTCTCCCCTATTTTATAATTCTATTCCATTTTCTTTACATGGAAGCTGTATATCGATCGTTATGCTGTTAGGGTGTGTCTTTGGACTGGGGTGAAAACCGGAGCACCTGGAGGAAACCCACGCCACACAAGGAGAACATGCAAACTCCATACAAAAAAATGCAAACTGACCCGGCCAAGACTCGAACCAGTGACCTTCTTTCTGTGAGGTGACAGTGCTAACCACTAAGCCACCATGTCAGCCCACATACTGTACAAAACACCCCCTCTAATGCCTGCTGGTATGAAAATATTTTTGTATCGTTTAGTTCTACAGCTTAATACTAAAAACCTGCGACCAGATAGAAGAAAGGAGCTGAAATTTTGAGCATTCTAATGCAATTGTCAGTTGTAATTCACATTTTAAATAAGCTATTTTTTTACTTATCTTTTGTGTCTAGTTTCTAGTCTATATATCAAAAAATATTAAATCAAAAAACATTTTCCAGATAAGAAAAAAATATTGTCTTATTTTGAAAACTAATTCGCCAAAATTAAGTGCATTTTTTTTTTTAAACAAGCAAAAAAGTGTTTTTCGTTTTGACATACAGTAAGATTATTTTGCGTACCTCATTGGCAGAATATTTTAGCTTGTTTTAAGGAAAAACATTGGCATATTATTTCTTTAAAAATGCATCTTGATTTAATAAGATTTAAGAATTTTTGAATAAAATTTGGACTAGAAACTGTAATTTTAAATAAATAAATACTTTTTTGCAGTGCCCTACACCCTATGCAAAACATTGTGACAAAATCTGGCTGGTATTTTGTAGACTGATCTTAATATAAATTTGTATTGCACTCTTTGAATAATTTCTAGGCAAAAATGCTAAGGAAAAAAAAAAGACGTGTGGAACCATGGAGAAACAGTTAAACCAAAAACCTTAAAACAATCTTAGGCATGCAAAATAAATGATAGCAAAATCCCTAGGGAATAGAAAGAGTTGTCAGTTGAAGAATTTGGGTCACATTTTAGCAGAAGTCCCCAGTGGTGGGTTTTAGTGACAGACCACCTGTGCTTCTAACATTTGTGCTGCGAATATGCATAATTTCCTGAGATAAGTGTACTGGCAAATACGATACCTGACAAAAAACAAACCCAGGGACTTACACAATCCCTGATTTTAGAGACAATTCAACAACAGTAGAAAATCGATCTGTTCTTGCTAATAAGAATCAGCCATACAGATGCTCATTTGGAGATAAAAATTACAATTATTACAGAGTATTAACTAAACTTTCAGAGGCTACTAAACAGGCATAAATAAATAAATAAATAAATAAATAAATAAATAAATAAATAAATATATATAATATAATATAATATAAATAAATAAATATGAAAACTTAAATATGACATTAATTCTTCAGCATTTGTCATTTAGCTAGACTGAATGAGGCCAGAAGTATGACATGTTATATGAGCAGACAATAAGTATTTGATTTATTATAAGTATATAAGCAAGTCTATAGCCAAAAGACCCACCTCAAGGACAAAGGTCAATAATTTGTCCCATACATGAGCTCATTTGTCTTATTTTGACTGCTACAACACCATCAAGTGTGAAAATATAACCAATTTAAAAAAAAGCCTTTAAGAGCAAGCTGAATCCTCCTCACCAGTGTGACTTCAGCTAATCCGTTTTGGCCAATGTAAACTATTATTTATCTTGAGTCCAACATCCAGCTGTGCAAGAAAACATACAATCGAATGTGAGTGAAGTCATCTTTCACCACTGTAGGTTTTTTAGAGAAAACATTTGGTAAAACTTTATTTTGATGGTTCATTTCAGTATTTGTAGACTGATGCTTAATATCTGTTGCTAATGCTCCTTCAGCAGACATTTAACTGACTATAAGAAACTCTGCAAGTACATGTCAACTTACACTAACCCAACCCCAACCTAACAGTCTACTTATAATCTAATGAGAATTAGTTTGCATGTAGATGCAATATTACTTCACTTCAACAAACGGACCATCAAAATAAAATGTGACTTAACATTTTACAAATCATTTATATTCTAAATCTTGGACGTTATTCTTAAAAAAAATAAATAAATAAAAATAAAAAAATGGCTGATAAAAAGGTGTGAAGCACAACAAGTGGAACATATTGAAATTAATTTTAATATTAATATGGCAATTGTTGTTATCCATGAATTGTACTTTTTCCACAAGAGAGGCTAGAAAAATCCTAAAGCTATTTTATTTTAGTTTTAATTATTGATTATTCAAATGGACAAATTCTAAAGAAAGTTGAAAGTGCTGGCGAGTTTGTTATTTGCCTAATAAATGACAATAGGCTACAGTTTTTAATGCAAAGCTTTCACATATTCAACTGAACACATAGCACAAATAAAAAAATTTAAAATGTTTAAAAATAAATAAATAAGGTGTTTATAAATGTATAAATAAAGCCTTTTAAGAAGCAACTGTGTGTTTTGTATGCATTTGGGTATCTTTACTGCTTCTGCGTGCAAAACTTACCACTTTGAATGTTCAGCGCATGGTGTTTGTCCACACTCCAGCCACCAAGATTTGACGCAGTGGTCTCGTATCCCTGCAGAACAGCCGTCCGCTTCTCCCAGAGGATCAGATCTGGACAGGATTCATACTCAAACCCCACCGACACTGGCAAGATTGAGGAGCAAACACATTCAGGGGTTTCAGTTCACTATATTTGTAGAACACACAAGCTTTTCAGACCAAGAAACCACTGCAGTAAAGAGACATATTTCACCAAAAATGAAAATTCTGTCATCATTTACTCGCCCTCCACTTGTTCCAAACCTAGTTGATTCTTTCTCTTGATAAACACAAAAGAAGATACACTAAAAAATGTTGGGGAAAAAAAACAGCCATTGACTTCAATAGTATTGTTTGATCCTACTATGGAACTCAATGGTTTCTTTTATCCAAACATCCTTCAAAATAACTTGTTTACCAGAATAAAACTGTCATTAGAGTTTCAAACCACTTGAGTGTGAGTAAATGGTGTGGTATTTAAATTTTGGTAGAACTATCCCTTAAATTAGTGGTCGCCAACCCCTAGGCCACCATCAGTTGGTACCAGGCCCCACAAGAACTCATTAATTATTTCAGTTTATGTATTATCTGAGTCTGAATGATTTTTATTTTGAAAAATCTTTTATTCTTTCGGATTCTCTCTGTGATGTCTAGTTCACTTTTGTGTCAAAATTTAACCCACATGCTAGCAAAAACCAAGTCTCTGGAAAGCTTTTTTACGAAGGCAAAAAGGCCAAGTGAAGGACCTATGACCTTCCGAGAAATGTATCCGCAAACCAATAGTCAACCAAACTGGTGAATCCAGCATGAAAGAAGATCAACTGCTATAGATCGCAAGGGCTTTAGGGGGCGTTCACATATCATGCGCAAGTTTATTATTTCCAAAAGAGGCTTGTGTGCGCATATTGGGAGCAACGCATGCAAGAATGCCATGAGCGCACCGCGAGTCAAGTAACAAGAACTGACTGAGCAGCTTTGTACTTTGTTTGGAATACACACATTTCGGTAGATTAATTACTTCAGACAAACACAGAAAACCCAAAAACTGCAGTGCTTTTTAATTTTCTCCAAAAATAAGCAATATTTTACCACACACCAGTAAACTTATCAACCTTTTGTAAAACGATTGGGGACCACTGCCTTTTTTTTTTTTTTTCTATAGAAAACAAGTGGGTTTTTAGCAGGCACTTAAAAAGATAGTGTCAATATAATATTTAAAGCCAATATATTTCAAGGTTGCAGTCCTGCCACTGCGAATGTGCTAAAAAAAAAAAAATCTGTATATTTATGCTAAATAGTTTTGAGAGTATTGTAACAAAAAAAGAACGCATGAACAAATAAAAATCTTTACATTTTTACATTCATATTTTTATGTAAGGTTTAGAATACAAATCCAATACGAACCACTTGTTTGATAAACAAAGCAAGTCTCTCATATAATATCTACTAAAACACAGCATTATTATTTTACAAACTCTATTGTAAAGAAATCCTATAATTATTTGCATATTACTTAATAACATTAAATGAATATAAAACCCAAATAAATATATACTTGCACACATTTATATACAGTTGAAGACAGAATTATTAGCCCCCCGAATTTTTAGATCCCTGTTTATTTTTCCCCAATTTCTAATTACTGATTTATTTTGTCTTTATCATGATGACAGAGAAAAATATTTACTAGATATTTTCCAAGACACTTCTATACGATTAAAGTGACATTTAAAGGCTTAACTAGGATAATTCAACACAATCTCGTTTAAATTCGTAACTTTTTGATTTAGTGGCTAATTCGTATGAATTTGTACGATCTAATTCGTACAATTTGCTTATCCCCCAATGACGGTTGGGTTTAGGGGTGGGGTTAGGTGCCACGTCTCCTTTTTAAAAACAAATTAGCCACTAAACTGGCAAAACGTAAAATGCTTACATTTTCTTGTGAGATGAGGCTGGATAATTAGGTTAACTAGGCAGGTTAGGGTATTTAGGCAAGTTATTGTAAAACAATGGTTTGTTCTGTAGAAAGTAAAAAAAAAATAATAATAATTTGCCTAAAGAGGCTATTAATTTTGTCCTTAAAATGGTGTTTAGAAATTTAATAACTGCTTTTATTCTAGCCAAAATAAAACAATTAATACTTTCTATAGAAGAAAAAAAAATATTATCAGACATACTGTGAAAATTTACTTGCCCTGTTAATCATGAAAATTCAAAGGAGGGCTATTCATTCTAACTTCAACTGTAAGTAAATAAATCTTGATGGGCAGATTCTGTGTGGGTGATTGTGTCAATTTTCAAGCGATACATACTAAATAATTTGAAAAAAAAAAAAAAAAAAAAAAAAAGATTTTAAAACTCCACAAAGTGGCTCTTCAAATCAGAACTTATACACTGATAGACATTGGGAGTCTAGACCATTACTTTAAGGAACCAGCTCTGAAGAAAGAGACTATAACAAACTTCATTCCTCACTTACCGAAAGCCTCAGACAGCCCATATACTTTCTGGCTGTAGACGTCGGTTTTGTCCCAAACAAAGTCGTAAGAGAGGTTGGGAGCAGCTGAAAACCACTTCCGGAAAAGTCTTCCTTCAACGGCCACCATAAGGTGCACCTTCATCAGGCTGAACGGGATGGTGGAGTGGGTGAGGGTGATTCGCAGAAGAGACTTATAGCCAGAAGTCCGGCTGCTCAAGTAGCCCAAGCGCATATCTGTACCTGGGATCCGCACTTCTTCTTGGAGGGTCTGGAGAGAGAGTAAAGCGAAAATTAAGAAATTAGCTACAACAAAACAGAGCGAACAGTAACAAATCTGTTAATTTTGTGGGAGATGCACCCTGCTGAGAAGTGTTTGCATTATTTAGCATCTCCGGTATATACGCAAATGAGAAGGAATTAATTTATTTTCCAGAGCAGACGCTTTATTATACCGTGCAAGAAATACTAATTATTGGGAGAATCTAGGCCATAATTCACCTCTGAGTTATTATATTAAAAGTTAAAATTAAATGCTGTTCAAAAGTTTCAAAACTCCCTTATGTGCAGTAAGACTGAAATATTTGATTAGTAATACAGTGAAAAAAGTAATCCCTTTTTATCATTTTATTGCTGTGAATAAGGAATAATGCTTTTCAAAATAATTACTACATACCAAAAGTCTTGTTGCCTTTCCAAGTTTTAGAAACAACAAATAAAAACTTGACTTCTACAGTAGTTGATCATTTGGTATGAAATGTGGCTTATATGAAAGGCAAAGGCCTCTAGATCATGCTTTTTTTTTCCAAAATAAAATATGATCATGCCTTGACTTTTAATTATTTATTTAGTAAAGTTTGACTTTGCTTAGACAAAATTCTTGTCACTTAACAAAAATAATGTACCGTATAGAACAGGGGTCTCAAACTTCCGGCCCGCGGGCCATTTATGTAAATATGTAAGGGTCATTTAATTATTCAGTTTTATACCACCTGTATTTTGTTGAACAAACAACTTTTTAACTCTGTTATGTTGGTGGTGTAACAAATATGTTATTCTGCTAACATTCAATTCAAATGGTCTCATTCAATAGATTTTTGTCATATGCGTATTGAGATATCTATGAAAACGATGTACATTTTACTGCTGGTTGAATTTAACATGTTAAAGTAAATGTGAATATACAGTTAAAGTCAGAATTATTAGCCCCCCTAAATTATTAGACTCCATGTTTATTTTTTTCCCCTAATTCCTGATAACAGAGAGATTTTTTTCAACACATTTCTAAACATAATAGTTTTTTTTAATAACTAATTTCTAATAACTGATATATTTTTCCTTTGCCATGATGACAGTAAATAATATTTGACTAAATATTTTTAAGACACTTCGACAAAGCTTAAAGTTACTTTTAAAGGCTTAACTATTAACTAAACTACTAAACTAAAATTTATTATAAAAGATTTTAATATTTTGAAAAGTTCGATTTTTGTGGGGAGTTAACCATTTTAATATATATATATATATATATATATATATATATATATATATATATATATATATATATATATATATATATATATATATATATATATATATATATAATTTTTTTTATGTATAGCAAGTTAATTTTTTTTTATAGAAAATATTTATTTAATTTATCATTGCTGTAAGTTTTACTGTAACCAAAAAAGTAATAAATTACATAAAAGCCTTATAATTTAATATTTAAACTTAAGCCTTTTTGGACCACTTAAAATTCGTATGTGTTTTTCCATTGATATCATGACACATACATTACTAAATATGGAAAATGAGGACATGACTGTCAAACAATTATTTTACAAAATAAACACATTTTCTTAACACAATTGACACATTATATCTTCCCTTTTGATTACAGGGTGAAAAATGACCCAGAAACCTTCAAATCCCTCAACCATGATAACAAGTGAACAAATTACTCTGCGTAAAGCAATGCATTCGTCTCGGTCACTTGAGCATCATTAACAACACCATCGCTTTCTCGCAGGAAGTGGACTCAGAGGTTTCTCATTGCTCACTGCAGAGCTCTCATTAACTCTCGGCGTATCGCTCCTTTATCACAGCCAGGCACAAAGCTGACCAATAAACACAGACGATCGCTACTGCGTCAATAAACACTGATAAGAAAAGCTCCTGCATAGACATTTCTGTTTGTAAACCTGCGATAACCCTTTATGCTGGTGCATGCAGATGCATATATACAGTATGTGTGTGTGTGTGTGTGTGTGAGAGAGCGAATGGGCCACCTCCGAATTTGGGATGGGATATATATTAATAGCAATGCATGTGAGACTAGATCATTAATCTTGTTAATCAAAGACAATATAATTAGGAAGGTGGCACACTGCTACAAGTAGATGTATTAGTATTCAAACACACACACACACACACACACAATTCATACTGTATGCGCATATTAAAACTTATATACCTACAAACACACTAACAGAGACATTCTGAACACACTAACCAGGATGGCAGTCAGTCAAGTTAAAAACGCAGACTGCAAAAGCTCCTCCAGGAGTCAGAATCAAAAAGCCTCCATGCTGCTTTCGTCTAAATGTAATTATCGTTCTTCAGAAAATGTCTGGCGTAGTAAATTGGACTGTGTATCTCTGCCCAATTACACACAGGAGATAAAATCACAGGACTGCCACCCGAGACAGAGGCTCCTCCGTTCCCTTCTGATGTACATTTCCCAATATCTGCCCCTGCTGTCTATCAGAACATCATTACCAACCGGCACTAGCCTGGAATCAATCGTGGCAAATTACCATGCTTTTTTTCCCCTTCCTTTTTTTTTTTTTTTTTTTTTTTGACAGAAGCAGCTGTAGACTTTCAGACTTAACAAGACTTAAAAAAACATTAGTTTTAAGATTTTAAGTAAGCACAAATTTTAAATAAAAGTAAAAACATTTTTATTCAATACTGAATTTATTTACAATATATTGAACACACAAAATCTGTCACAAAACTGAGGGACAAAAAAAAAAATGAAGCGGTTTTAGATATCCAAACTGAGAAGTACAGCATTCTAATCTGACTAAACAGATTTTCAAGTAGCACACGTTTATTGGTGTGTGTGTGTGTGTGTATCCTGATGAGGGTGAATTTCAGTAACATAAATGACGGTCTGTGTGGTATTCTATTTTTGGGTGCTTCTCCACACTTTAACTCTCTTGAATGTGGGAAAGCAAGAGAAGGTGGATTTATCAGAGAACAATACACGTTTTACATTGTGCACAGCCCAAACTTTTCACTGCTGGCACCCAGTGGTGTAAAGTAACAAATTACAAATACTCTAATTACTGTAATTGAGTAGTTTGTCTCAGGAATTGTAATTTGCAGAGTAGTTTAAAACATGTCTCCTTTTACTTTTTTATTTTTTATTTTTAGTGCTGTCTGTACTTTTACTTCGCTACTTTCCTTCAACTTTCAGTCACTACTTTATTATTTCTTGCCTATGGGGATTAGAAAAATCAGTCCTGTGACTTCTGTCCAATCAAATTGCATATAAAAGGTAAATTGCATCATAATGAACTACTTCAAGACATGGGCGATTTATAATTGCAGCATGTTTGAAAGCATTAAAAGTGTCCGTGAAGATGTCCAAAATCTGTACACACAATGACCCAGAGACTGTTTAGATGCATGTCACTGATGAGAAGATGACAGATATTTACTGTATGACCAAATTGGACCAAAAGACGTCAACATGATGTCAGATTAATGTCGTACCCTAACATCGTGTCAACGTTTTGTTTGGAAACGATTATTGGGTTGACTTCAGAACCCAAAGTCAATCCAAAATCAATGTCCAGTGTTCAACCTAAAATCAACCAAACACCAATGTCTATTTATGTTAGAGCTTGAGGTTGTTCGAACGATACAACTATGATGTCTATCAAATGTTACCTGATAAATAAATGTCAGTATTTGACGTCAACATGACGTTGGTTTAAGATGTTGGATAGATGATGGATTTTGATCACTTTCCAACACAATCTAAAATCAACAAAATATCAACATCATTTAATGTCGTTAATGGACATCAAAATAACATTGTTCTAAGATGCTGGCTAGACACTAAATTCTGGTCACCTGACATTACAGCCTTAATCTAACATAATATTGGCATCTTATGATGTTGTATGCCTGCTGAACAATCACCAAATGCACTACAGAATGTTACGTTTACACACATCCCCATTTACATGTAAATGCCTCAGCTTTTTAAAACGTAGAACTCACTACTCAATACTCTTGAAAGAGCTACTTTTTACGCATACTTTGAGTAATCTTTACAACAGATACTTTTACTTTACTTGCACTACATTTTTAGGCAAGTAATAGTGCTGGCACCACTGCTTGGCCAGTACAACTTTGGCCTCAGGCGCTCCGACAACAACAAACAAAAATATCTGCATGTACTTTAAAGATTGTTGGTTTTCTTTGGAAGCTGCTGTCATATGGCATGACATATGTATAGTAAATGTAAGATGCGAAGAGAAAAAAAAAAAAAGTCTTTTGTTATACAAAATGGGTTATGCCATTGAAGATTGTAAATAGTGTATCATGTATTAAATCAGTGAAACAGATGACAACACAAAGCAACTCAACCAATCTCAATCAAACAGTATTGGTTACATCAACTGAACACTCGCACACCATATGAACATCTCTTCTGTAGTTTGTAGCTATTTGTTTTCATCACCTGAATCTCTGGAACGACGATGCCCCTCTCAGGGCAGGTCCCTGCAAACGCTGTCAAAGGAGCAGGCAGGACGATGGGCATGGGACGGGTGAAGCTGCTCAGGTCACAGCTGGGGATGTCGTTGACCTCGTGTCGCATCACAATTGTATCCATGACGAAGAAACGCCCCCATGGCAGCCACAAGGTGTGCTCCTGAGTGATGAAGGGAGCACGCTCAAACCGCAGGCCAATGGCCACGCCACCGTTGCTCACCAGGTCAAAGCTGAAACAGAGAAGACATGTGCGGTTACATCAAGCGGCAACATTGAGCTCTCCCTTGTGATGTTAATACAGAATTAACTGAAACAGCAATACATCGAAATTCCGCTAGTCCTGGCTTCATAATAGAGCACATTTCTAATGACCCAAATGTTAAAATGGCCAACTTTACTGCAGAAAAAAATATGTTTACAGCCTGGTGCAAAAAACAATTTTGGTGTACATAGCTAATATTACCATTCATGACAACTGTAAGAGGGGTAATTTCGTTTTATAACTATTATGTTTTATTTATATTAAGTTATATTAAGTCTGCATAATTAAGGGCATGGTCACTTGGGTGACAGCTAGGTCCCACTAGTCGCATTCACATCACCTCATCTGATTCCGGCTGATTAGCCGCTGAACTCTGCATATACATTGTATTTTTATTTTGTTGTATGTGACTTTACACAGTCAGTTGCCTTTTAGAATTATTTCTTATAATTATCAGATAAGGGCGAAGCAGTGGTGCAGTGTTCGCGTGGGTTTCCTCCGGGTAACATTATTTGTCCTTCGACTTAGTCCCCTTATTCATAAGTGGTCTACACAGTGTAATGAACTGCCAACTTATCCACCATATGTTTTACACAGCGGATGCCCTTCCAGCTGCAACCCAGTACTGGGAAAGACCCACCACACCATGAAAGAACTATTATAAGCTAAACCTAAATTATTTACAAGTTGTATCTCTAAACTTTCATTTAATTTTCCTTTGACTAAGTTGGTTTATTCATCAGTAGTCACCACAGCAGAATAAACCACCAACTTTTCCACCATATTTTTACATAGCAGATGCCCTTTCAGCTGCAATCCAGTACTGGGAAACACCAATACCACACCACAAAACAACTATTATAAGCTAATTGCAAAGCAAACTGTATACAACCTCTAAACTTTCATTCAATTTCCTTTGGTTTAATTCTTTTATTCATCAGGGGTCACCATAGCGGAATGAACCGTTAACTTATCCACCATATGTTTTACACAGCAGATACCCTTCCAGCTGCGACCCACTACTGGGAAACACCCATATCACACTACAAAAGAACTATTGTATGCTAAACCTAAAATGTTTACAAGTTGTACACTGAAACTCTTATTTAATTTTCCTTCTACTTAGTCCCTTTATTCATCAGGGGTCTTCACAGCGGAATATACCGCCAACTTATCCACCATATGTTTTGCGGAGCGGATGCCTTTCCAGCTGCATCCAAATTTCGGGAAACCTCCATACCACACTAAGAAATAAGCTAGATAAACCTAAACTGTTTACAAGTTGTGTCTCTAAACTTCTTATGTCATATTTATCCTACTAGTTCTCTATAACTAATGATATTTCTATCAAATCCATTTACCAACATAATTGAAAAGACTGTGTAAGTCATTCATAAAATACAGTTATTTTCTAAAATATGCCAACCCTTTGAAACTGCATGTGGATTTGCTAGTACAATGGCATTCCATTATCTAATAATCCCATTTACTAACATTTTAATCAACATTATTCACTCCTCTTCTGCACTACCATCAAAACCAGACTTAATAAAGGTTGTAATTCATTATGTTCCTCTAAATGACAGGATTCAGTTGAAAAGGACTCGGCTTCAGTTAGTTACGATGGGTTTTTATTCTGGCAGCTACACAATGTGCCCGGAATACAATGAAGCACTGGCTCAGTTTAATACACTGTGCTTTTTTTTTTTTTTTTTGGAATTTGCATTAATAAAATCAGTATAAATGTGTGGTGTGCAATGTCGCTCTTCTCTCTTGGGGAATAAGCTGGCGAGGTTCTTCACTAGCCGAGCCTCTTTGTTGTGCGCTGGAACGGTGTGCTTTGATAAAAGAGGTGAGGGGGGAAATGACATTTAAGGCAAGGGTAAAGCATTATTGATCTGTGCTGTCTGTGCTAACATAACTTTATAATAACCTCACAATGGCAGTGCATGCTCTACATACAGAGTCGATCTCTTGTTGACGCCGCTAACGGGACGCTGGCTACCGTGCGAGTTGACTGACGGTGTACAAATCAACTCTGATCTTCTTTCTTGTGAAGAAACACACCTTTACAACACGCTCTGGTAGATATGAAAGCACATTTTAGCGTTAAATGCGGTTGTGGTGCTAACAGCTGATTAGCATGATACGTGGATGCTAGGAATGCGCTGTAGTGTGTGTCTTTGTTCTCGGATGTTGGCATAAACGCGGTGTGCATCTGTAGTCACACCTCACGCTGCTTGAACATTAATTCAACTACATATCCCAACGGGCTATTCACAGAGCTTTCATTGGCACGGCTGATAAACAAAGGTCTGCTTTGCCCTTGTTGTCGTGCCCTTGCTAAAATGTGAGCATTTGTCTGAGCGCGGTGGGAGTTTGAACAGAGCGTGCTTGTCTGTGAGAGAGAGAAAGTGAGCCTGTGTACGTTTTTATGCAGGAGCGGAGCTGGCGCTAATCTGCAGTAAAAGCTGGCTGGCTAGTCACATGTTCTGAGAGAAGTGCACACACATATAACCATTATACAAGCACATACTTAAGCCCTAAAGGCTGCCATGCCAATCGATGAGTGATTCGTAGGCCTGTTATCAATCACGCAAACACCTCAGGCATGGGTGACACACTTTATTAGTGCATTCAGCCTTTCAGTGCACACTTTGAGGCGATGCAGCGTTAACCCAATGGGGTTAGCTGGATCGATGGGTTACACCCTAAACAGGTCAAAGCCAACCAAGTTGAACTAAATTGAAGCTATGTTCACACAGCATTCAAACACAACACTGTTTAAAAGGGTAATAGCAACTGTATTTAAAAAATTGAACTGATTCCCCTAAATTTACAGGCCTGATTTTGGAATAATGTGATGCATAAACAAAAACAATAAAGATTCCAATATTTTTTATTTGTTCATTCAGACAGAATACACCACCACCACCACCACTACCGCTACTACTATTACTACGACTGCTTCTACAACAGGGTTTTTCAAAGTCTAAGACAGTGGGCCTCCCTTTTGACAACTTATCCATTGGCGCCCCCCTCCTCCCAAACACGCACGCACGCACGCACACACAAGCACACACACATATACATATATATATATATATATATATATATATATATATATATATATATATATATATATATATATATATATATATATATATAAATATATAAATACACAGACAGATGTCAGACTGTTAACTCACGTTTATCATCATTTGCATGAAAGTGCAATTATTTACAGAGTAATAACAAGTATTTTAATATAACGTTTTTAAAACTAGGATGATGGTTCAATATGAATAGAACAGATCCAAGAACTGTCCATCCCAGTCAAAACAGTCGAAGTTTAGCGGGTCTCATGTCATTAGCCAAAATATTTTGACAAACCACACATAAAGGTCGTGGTTCATCAGCTGGTCCTGTCCACGTAAATCCTAAACTCAAATACTGATCATCATATCGTCGTCTTTTGGGTTTAAGCCCTGAACTTGAAGGCTTTTGTGGCGAGAGGGCATGGCCGAGAGCCGTGGGAACAGAGTGAGGCCACGGCGTAAAAGTGGATACACCTGCGGTGCGCACCTGCTTCGGATCCCACGGAAGAAGCTCGGGATTGTAAAATGAGGAAAGACGGCAGAGGAAGCGGAGAGAGCACCAGGCCCGGACATATTTTACTTTTGCTTTCAGTTTGTTTTGGTTTAGACGGCAGCCTCCGTGAGGAGCTGCCATCCCTGTTATTAATAAATCATTTTGATACTGCGTCGGTTCTCCGCCTCCTTCTTCCCGGCGGCCAAAGGGCCGTGAACTTCATTACAGTTTTGAATCGGGGGGGGGGTCTCAGAAACCGACCCATTGTATTAGTAGGCATATACCTGTATTGGCGGGCTTGCCAAACAGAAGCGAATTCACAGCTATGGCCTTCTGGGTAAAAAAGGTTTTCTTATATTTGACGTATTATTTTTTTGCTTTGTTTAATTAAAACGTTTAAATATAATAACAAATACATATAATAATTAAACTTAATAATTATATTTTTATTATATTACATTTTTTTCCCGCGCCTCCCCTGACATGCTCTGGCGCCCCCCAGGGGAGGCGCGCCTCACACTTTGAAAACCCCTGTTCTACAACAACTACTTCTACTTTAATAATAAAACTTTAATAATAAAACTTTAGTATAAGTAACATTTTTTACTATTACATAGTGACCTATCAGCCTAATAATAATATATTGGCTGTTTATATTAGAGCTAAAGATCTTTGGCTGAACCTGACAGGACCTGGGTGTGTTCGGGTTTGATTTCTATCATTTTAGACGGGGTTGAGTCGGGCTGGATGTTCCTGGCTGGTAGAAGATGAACAAACAGTCCTACACAAAAATTGAAAAAATTAGCCAGATCAGAACTATGCATTTCGAACTGTAGCAGCAGCAGTGAAAGGGTGTTCAGTGCTGCTGGACACACCATCCAGAGCACAGGACTGCGCTAAAGTCACTGGATTCAATAATGTTCCTCCACAATAACATGTTGCCTAATCTTGGTGAGTAAAGGGTTTATAAATTATAAATAAATTTTAATTAAACCATAAAATCATAATGTAGACAGAATATACAGGCTAATGTTGCCATTAGGCTATTATTTTATTATTCAGCTTCACCGTCGCCTTAAGGCCAGATTGTAAAGAGAAGTGGCAAAACGAATCTTGCAGAGCCTTTATCTTAATTTCCTTATTGCCAAATACCTGTCATAATTTAAAATTTATTTTAACTTAATCTGTTAAGAAACACTTCTTTTCATTGGTGTGTTGGCCAATTTAAAGGCTAAGGGTATGTACCTAGGCCTATTTAGAGTGCTGATATGTTACAATGTTACAGAGGACTTTTTTTTTTTCTTTGTCTTCCAAGTGGCCTATAGCGTACGTTTGTTATGAATAAATTATGTTAAAACATATAAAAGATTCGTTCCT